ATAAAATTGAGAATGGAAATGGGGAATGTGTCAAAGAGACAACAACCCGACCATGGAACAGACAACAGCCGAAGGCCACCAATGGGTCTTCAATGCAGCGAGAAACTCCTACACCTGGAGGGGTCCTTCAGCTGGCCCCTAAACAAATATGTATACTAGTTCAGTGATAATGGACGTCATACTAAACTCCAAATTATACACAAGAAACTAAAATTAAAAATGATACAAGACTATCAAAGGCTAGAGTGTCCTGACTTGGGACAGGCGCAAAAATGCGGCGGGGTTAAACATGTTTTTTGAGATCTCAACCCTCCCCCTATACCTCTAGCTAATGTAGAAAAAACAAACGCACAACAGTACGCACAGTAAAACTCAGTTTAAGAGAAGTCCGAGTCCGATGTCAGAATAGGAAACAAATCCTTGAAAAATTGTTGTCAACATTTTTTTATCCATTTTTGCTTTTATGGCAAGTATTATACCTGTCTGAGATATGAATAAACTTGAAACAGCAAATGGTGATACGTAGACGAGACAGCCGTCATTGTTCGCTTCAATATATGAGTTATTGGCACTCAATGAAGATCGTTTTTCTGTTCTTATCCCCTCTCCTATTAGTTTTGCTAAAGGATACAATGTAACCCCTGATGTGTACCACGACAACGTTTTTGTAATGTTGAAAAAAAAAGATTAAATGCAAAGAGAAAAATGATGGAAGAAAGATTTACTTTTAAAAATTCATACTTAAATAAAAATGAAATATAAAAATTGGAAAACTGTTTGAGACGATTATTTATTGATTTATTGATTGTTGGTTGCTTAACGTCCAGTGGCAAATATTTCATGAATGTTCAGGACGAAAACAAGTTAACAATAAATACAATAGGTAGGTTTTGTAATAATAGAGGCCATCTGGGATGATGGTCTGGAAAATTTGGACTGCCACTGGACAATGAGGATATATTGGATAGGCACAGAAATTTTGCCTTGCAACAGGCCACCTACGGACCCCTCAATGAGTTGTTGCAAGGGTTCTTAACGTGCAAAGAGCGTGGCACTTTCTGTACACGAGGTATCGGATTTAACGTCCCTAATCTGACCGGACGTGGCTGCAAACTTGATACATCCCGCACAGCCAAACGGACGCCCCACTTTGGCAAGCGTTTTACTGCCGGTCGGAAAAAGACCAAGTGACCATATTTGTATCCCTCACAAGGGTGACGATTATTTACTGAAACCAAATGATTATACGTTACTAAATGAAGCTGATTAATGAATTGCTCCTTTCATGTCCAGTGTCAAATATGTCATGCATATTTACGACGAGATGCAAAGTGGATCAACCTGAGGCAAATGATTACAATTTTAAAGTGGCACTTTTTACAATAAGGCAGAGCGTTCGCTAGAAGTAAAACGTATGCCGTAATAGAATACAGTTGAATCATGATCGAAGTCGTAAGCTAAGACTTTAGCCCTCCTGGGGGCATCGGTGGCCGAGTGGTCTAAGTAGTTACTACTGTAATTACTAGCCAGTCAACACTGAGGTTGTGAGTTCGAACCCCGCTCGTGCGGGTGCACTCGACTCCAATCTTAATTGACTAGGATTGTCAGTTTTCCTATCGAAGGTCGGTGGTTTTGTCCGGGCACTCCGGCTTCCTCCACCAATAAAAACTGGCCGCCACGAAATAGCCCAAAAGCGGTGCTTACAAGTGGCGTTAAAACACCAAAAAACAAAATCAAATTAGCCCTCCTTCCCTTTTTTTTTCTCCACGGTAGACGAATGCCAAAAAACAGAACGTCATGAATTTACAAACAATAACGGCCACTATAAGTAAATGAGATATGGACTTTTTTATTTAAATAAATTCCTATTGCAGCCAACATCTCTCGGTTCAGGACAGGTTAGTATTTCCACCGATTGATTATTGAATGGAGATATTAAAGCAATCAAAAACACTTTGAATCAAAAATTCTCAAAAATTGTAAATTATGATATTTTGCTGGGTGTTATTTCCCAATCCTATTTCGTACCCCTTGATTTTAAGAGGGCGTATCTAATTAGTCATGCCCGATTAACTTTTAGTAAATTGAACCTCAACTTAAAGACCTACACCGGGTATTTAAGTTCGAGGTACAATAAGTAGACAATAGAAATCCTTTGTGAAATGAGATCGTCCCAGGTATCTTAGATAATCATTTAACTCTTTAACTCGTTTGCTATGCCCGTGTCTGTAGTGACGTTTTGGATTTCAATTACCGTAATCTATGTATTACTGGTAAATTATTAAGTCAGGGATATCGTTACCACAAATTACTTAAAACTGTAATAAATTCTTCCGTAGATATAAAGATTTGGTTTGGAAGTTTGGCTAGAAAACGGGATTGCAAATTCTTATTTTTACGATGATGTTGTTTACCGAGCCCTGAAATTTAGACTATACGGTATGGGTTTTTCTCATTAATGAAGGCTGTTTGATTGCCTATTATTGCTTTTATCCACTTCATTTGGTGGATTGTTGTCTCATTGGCAATCATACCACATCTCCTTATTTTTTATAACGAACTGTGCATGCATTAAGGTAGATGGGGGGTCTTAATTAAAATCCATAGAATTTTTTAATAATTTGTCAAAATGTAGTTTTTATCATGCTTTTTTCCAAAATATAATAAAAAGGATAGGTCGCCGGACTTTTTTTCACGCTACAGGTTGTGCAAAATTGTCAGATTGTGTATAGATTATGCATGGAAAAATCCAATTTTGTGTGATAAAAAGAAAACTACATCATAGAATTTTAAGATAAAATGTGAGAAATTGGCTCTTATAACATGCTTTCAGATAAGAAAAAGAAAAAATGGGGTCACCGGACTTGTTTTCTTGCTACATATTAAAATAGGTAATTCATAACACTTTCTATTATAAAAATTACTTTATCTGAGTTATCTCCCATATTATCTGAGTTATCTCCCCTTATGTGGCAAAGTTGAAAAAATTTCATCAAACAAAAATAATGTGTTTTTTTAGAAAAACAGCCGTAAGTATGATAAACCACATGATTTTCTATATTAACATGAAAAGTCTTACACATGAATTACAAACTACTCTCAAAATTTGCACATGTCATTAAAGATCTAGACCAATTGTTATCTGCTACTTCAAAATCAAAGATGGAGGAAGACACCCCAGCCACCTTAATGGATGAAATTTTACAGAATCGACCCTTCTTCAACCTGAGCGAAAATTCTGCTGTTCGTGTAACTTTTTTAGGTCTTTCCACTTTTCGTAGAAAGTAAATAGTCTTTTTATGTTCTAAGAAAATGTCATAAAACTATGACAATGTCATTTACACTGTTCAAACAGCACCGCATGTATAACTTTGTACAACAGAAAAGCTGATTTGACATAAGTGACTATCTATCAACTTTCATTAATGGGCATCTTATCAGTTAACTTCAGAAAGCTTTCAACACAAGTAATTGTTACAGTTTTTCCGTAACAGAACAAAAATAATAATTCAATTTATTTTGTATTTAACCAGTAATGTAGCCAAGGATTCATCTATCGGACATTTTGAGATGTTTAAGTGGCGTGCTTGTTTTGTGTGTAAATAATTTTAGAGGTCCATATGACTTTTAATCAGTTGGTTTATCAATTTTAATCAAAGATGTTTTGGGTTTTCTTCTTTTCTTTTAATTTATATCATGATTATTTGGTATTTCCCTGAAATATTGTTTTAAAGATGAATCATTTAACTTTCTTATACCAAACATTTAAAATTTGAAACTGCGTTAATAAATAGCATTGAAAGTACATCATCTAACAAAATATATCTGTGAGAAGAAAATGAGCCACTCGTTTCCAGGTTGAGATGGAATATGTTCGGTTTTTTTTTATTTTATGAGGTAAGCAATAGACACCTCTCAAATATCTTCTCATGAAAAGTTTGTAAAAGTGACGAAACTGTATTTCCAGCAGCGGGCGATGATTTCTAATCATACAATATTCTTGCAATGAATTTTTTTAAATGTAATGTAAAACTTATCATTTAAGATAACTCTTATCCGCAATTATTTCTTTGTGAATAGTTATCAAAGGTACCAGGCTTATAATTTAATAAGTCAGAAGCGTGTGTCGTCTACATAAGACTCCTCAGTGACGCTCATATCAAAATAGTTAGAAAGCCAAACAAGTACAATACTGTAATGCCCTATTTCATGGTACACCGAACAGAGAAGTAAAATAAATATGGTAATTGTTTCATTATATAGTAGGGTCATCATTTGTGACTTTCATTAAGGGGCATTCTCTGTTAATCACTAAAACACTGCTTAATGATAAATTAACATACACGTTTATACATGAGCTTTAGAATCATCGAGATTGCATTATGTTATGGACTAATTTTATAATTTTTACTGTCCCCCTTTAGATATTACTTTATCGAAAATGAAGTCACATGCACGACAAGTTTGATGAATGAAATTAAAAATGGTTTGACTTCATTCATCTTGTTAATTTTGTTTCATGTTTCTCGAACTTTTCCGTGACCAGACAATACTCGGACTTCACCTAAAGTCATCTCGGGTATCGATTCTGACAGAAAATCAATGATCAGCTGATTGCATTTTATAGCTTTTAGTACAAATTGACCAATTAATGGAGTTGTTGCTTGTATTGCTTAATGACAATGCTAGGTAAATGGTATCATACGTCATCTTGAAGTTTGTAATAATAACTTCGATAAAAATAATTGTTTAAAAGAGGGTACAGCTGTTTTGAAAACTTATACTTTAAACGATGGTCATTGTTTTGAAAACAAGTGTCAAACGTAAGAAAAAAATCTATAATTCTATTCCATGTACTTTAAATATGCATGACGTATCTAGTTAAATTACTAATGATAGACTAAAGATGAATCCTGTATACACAGAAGTAAAAGTTTACAGTATTGTTTAAAAATGACAAAACATTTGTTCTAATTAAGTTCATTTATTACAATGTAGGTTAAAAAATATATAGATATGGAAATAAATAACAAAAGAAACAACAATGTTGCAAACTGGATTTGTTTGTTAACAAGAAGACAAAACCGTCAACATTATCAATGGTTCATTGAAATAATGTTGAGATCAGATAAGTCCCACAATACCGACATAACAATATTATATTTCTATTCACCAATTAACAACGTTGACCAATAAACGATTCAAATGAGGACACCGTCAGATGACCTTTGGCAGAAGGATAAGTACACCTACAAATCATGCTTTAAACAAACACAACTAACATAATGCATGTATTGCTGATAATATCTCTTAAACGAACCTAATCACAAAACCTAAAGTCGACAAATGAACCATAAAAATTACGTCAAGGTCAGATGAATCATGCTTGTCAAATATGTACACTTTGCAATGACGCTATATACCAACAATAACATTGAGAAATGAAACGGGGAACCTAGCAAAGAGACAACAACCCGACCAAAGAGTAGAAAACAGCACACGACTACCAATGGATCAACATAACGAGAAAATACAACACCCGGAGACGGGCTTCAGCTGGCCCCTAAAAAAATACAGTTGTCATATTACTCATTGTAACCGGGATATCTATGTCAAAAATTTATATAAACTTTTAAGCCTTTAACATATGTAAGCAGTCGCTGAACCACAAAAACGAAAGACAAATGCCAGTGGAAATCGTTTATACACCATAGGCAGTATCCAGGTGTTCTACCTTCTGAAATATAAACTTTATACAAATAGTTTACACCCCCGTTTCAGCTGTATAATCATTCTTGTATTTCACATTCTGTCAGGAGACACACAATTTTATTACTTAAGTTCTTTCTTTTCATCTTTCCTGATGATGCATGAATATGTATAAAGTAAAATAATAAAAATACCGAATTCCGATGAAAAATCAAATCGGACACTCCGTAATCAAAAGGCTAACGAATGGATTATAACTGTCATATTCCTGAATTGGTAAAAGCATATTTTTATGTAGAAAATGGTGGATTTAACCTGGTTTTATAGCTTGTATAATCTCTCATTTGTATCAAAACATTCACGTTAGCAGTATATCTTTGTTTTCGAAATGTTTGTTTTGTACGTTCATTTATTAACGTGTTATCTAAGACTCGGGACGATTTAGAGCTTTATATGTTGTATAGTCATATCTCAATTGTTAACGACTGTGTATTGCTATTCATATGTAATCATATCAAGAAATTCCATGCAAGAGTCATGAGCGACAAAGAAAACAACTTGGAACGTATTCATTATTCCTTTGCAGTTTCCACTTTGTTTTCTAACCATCTGAAGGAAGAGTTTCGTATGTGTGTGTATCGCCACTTTGGTGTTTCAAATCTTCATACTCATTTGGGAAGTCGGAATTAGCGATGTTCATGTATTGATTAACTTGAAGTGTTCCACTTTCAGAAGTATTATTGCTTTGGCTATTATTAGTCCAAATATCGCAAGTGCCCAGTTGACTTGGATGACTTAATTCATTTTCGTAACTAGCCGGCATATTATTCGTACTGCCAATAGATGTGTTTATGTAGAAATGAAACAATGTTAAAGAACTTCTACTACTGCTAGAAATTGGTCTATTATCAGAAACTCTATCATTTTCGGAGTTCAGTCGGTTGGTGTTTTCAAAACCGTAACTACGTAAGTTTACTGAATGATAAGAGACACTGTCAATTTCTTCGTACTCGTTATCAACAGACCCATGTTCTTGGTCATCAGGTAATCCAGAGTGTAAGCTAAATTATAAAAGAGATAAACAAATCATACCAATGATACTAAATTCGCTCTGATTTCTCGATATTACTTAATGATTACCGAATATGTAGAATGAAATGCTTAAACCTCATGTACACCTTACATTGTTTAACTCTTTTTCGAGTGCAACATGTATAAACGTACATAATAATTTACCATAATGATTGTAAAATAAGCAAAACCAAAGTGAAAACTGGGTTGAAATGTAGGCCAGAATGATTGTATTGAACATGCTTGATTTTTTTAACGCGACTAACGACCGTACTTCTAGTGAGTGAAACGACTGTTGCACCTAGTGGAATAGAAACTGCTTACCATTCCGAAACACATGAGTTAAACAATGTTAACCCCGGTTGTTGTTGGGATTCGTGTCGCTCAATCTTTAAATTTTTGTAAAGTGTTGTTTGTCTTTTTTTGTCATTTTCCATTAAAGACGTGATGTTGTCTGTTTCTGGTTGAAAGTAATTTTTATTACCTCCTTTGTACCATATTAATTTTACACATTTGAATACATTTATATGTGCTATTGTTTTCAAGTTATTATATGTATGTGTAAATGCAAATAAAATCTCAACAGAGATTGTTTCATTGCTTTTATTGTTCAGATCAAACATGTTTAATGCAATACTATTTTTTCTTAAAACCGTAAGAATATTAATAAGTCACTAAAATGTCAAATGAATGAATAAATGCATCATAGATACCAGGACTAAAATTTATATACATCAGGCGCGCGTTTTGTATACAAAAGAATAATCAGTGACGCTCGAAGAGTACATTTGTAACTGATGTTAATGGAAAGATGTTATATGACGCATCCGATTTTACTCCTTTCGGAGTTCATGCGATTCCATCAGTTTTTTGTTTGTTACCCTGATTTGTTTTCTTCTTTCTCGATTTGTATATATGTTAAGACATAAATTTGACAAATTATTTTAATTCACTCAGTATCAGAAATCAAAAGAAAACAAACGAAATGAAAAACAACATCCAACAAAATATTACACTTTAAACTAAATAGTGCAAAACATGAACCCTATTGAAACCTGAGTTTACATTTGATTCTTTAACTATTCAAAATTAAAATTTGTATAGGAATATTGATATGAAGATATCTTTATATTAAATCAAGTGAGTCATAAGAGCGATATATTGTAACTATACCTTTCTGGTGGATTTGTTGCATTTGGGTGGTCATACAGACCTAAAATAAAACCGATTGTCTGCATACTTAGTAACATGCATTGAAAGTTATTATCTAATGAGGTAACTAACATAGTTGAGAATACCGGTCGAATGATGCCATGAACGGCTGCATATGAAGACAATCAGGCACAGCGAAAACAACAAAACACAAATTTTTGGAAACCTTTATAGTCTGTTTCAACAGAAGTCGTCATAAGTATGATTTGTGACAAAATATGAAAATAGTGTGAACAAATTTCTACTTCGGTGTTTTGTCCTTTTAGGAAAAGGTCGGAAATCTTTCACGAATTAGAGTGTATCCTTCCGGTAATATGTTTCATCCATTAGGTATTTAGCATGCTTAGGGGGTATTTTTCTTCCAAAAGATCCATATTGATCAATGATTGATCAAGATATGATTTGAAGCTCCGAAAAATTGTCCGAAAAACGAAGTTTCTTCTATTGTTACTACGATCCATATAATATTATTGCCTCTTAGAATTAACTCAATCTTAAAAGTATCCATTTAGCAATGTAGCAAGATCTGTGAATAACTTCTTATATTGGACTACGTCGCAACTCGGCTAAAATAATATATATATAAGAGTTAATCAGGTCTACAATAATAAACAATTTTTATTCCGAAATGTCAATTTCAAACTTAACATCATCAAAAATGTTATAACGACTTGCTATGAGTGAAAAATATTAATTTGTGACGAAAAGATAATTTGAGATTCGATGTTAAGTTTCTAAAATGCTCTGTGAAAGGAACTATATAAAATAATGAACAAAAAGAAAATGGCAAAAAGATACAAACCTCTTCTGCTGGCCAAGATAAACACACCGACTATAACCATACCACATACAACGGAAGCACCAATAAGTAGATATACTTGAATAATTCCTGAAGCTGAATTCAGAATTGAATTTTATAAATCGAGGTGTTCACACTTAGTATTCATATGTATAAGTTTTTAGAAGAGTATAGTTATCTATTTTTTTTTTATAAATATGGACAAATGTTTAAATGTTACATTTAATCGAACATAATGAACTACTGACAAAATGTCTTGTTGTTTAAAATTGTCATCTTTCACATTCGTTTTATTTATTTTTGGTATTTGTAAATTAGCATAAATTGTAGCATTTTAAAAGTTCGTTTCTGGCAAAAATGCAGTTACAATAAAATTGAGAATGGAAATGGGGAATGTGTCAAAGAGACAACAACCCAACCATAGAGAAGACAACAGCCAAAGGCCACCAATGGGTCTTCAATGCAGCGAGAAACTCCCGCACCCGGAGGCGTCCTTCAGCTGGCCCCTAAACAAATATGTATACAAGTTCAGTGATAATGGACGTCATACTAAACTCCAAATTATACACAAGAAACTAAAATTAAAAATGATACAAGACTAACAAAGGCCAAATGCTCCTGACTTGGGACAGGCGCAAAAATGCGGCGGGGTTAAACATGTTTTTTGAGATCTCAACCCTCCCCCTATACCTCTAGTCAATGTAGAAAAAACAAACGTACAAACGTACAACAGTACGCACAGTAAAATTCAGTTTAAGATAAGTCCGAGTCCGATGTCAGAATAGGAAACAAAAGAAAATAAACAAAATGACAATAATACATAAATAACAACAGACTACTAGCAGTAACTGACATGCCAGCTCCAGACCTGAATTAAACTGATTGAAAGATTATGTCTTCATCATAAGAATATCAGACACAATCCCTCCTGTTAGGGGTTTAGTATTATACCGTCATAAAATATATGAGAAGAACATAACCCGTGTCATGCCAACAACTGGTTTTAGAATAAATATGTTTAATTCCGATGCAAAGACCCTATAAGTGAATCAATATTAAAGCCAAAATATGCAATCTTTAATGACATGACAACAGTATCGTAACTATATCCCTTCTTAATAAGTCTGTTTAAAGGTTTTGTTAGCTTTTGAGGTGAATACTGACATTTTTGTGCATTGTAAAGAATATTACCATAAAAGATTGGATGTGAAATACCCGAACGTATAAGATGTCTGCGTGTTGAGTTATATTTACGAATGATGTCCTTATACCATGTATACCGATGATAAAATTGAGTAAATGTTTTGACTAGTTTATGATATCGAAAACCCTGGTGTAATAATTTTTCAGTAATATATAAATTTCTCTCGCTAAAATCTAATACGTTGTTACATACACGAGCGAATCGTACAAGTTGAGATATATAAACACCATCAGATGGTGACAAGGGAACGTCACCATCTAAAAATGGATAATTAACGATAGGAAATGAAAAATCATCTCTTTCATCATACATTTTTGTAGTAAGCTTCCCGTAATGATATAGATATCAAGATAGAGGAAAGGAAAGTGGTCATTGTTAGTATTAGCTGTATTTCTGCATTTTAAAGATCAATAAGTAAAAATTCAGAGAATATTTTTTGGTACGCGTCAGGTAGTTAAAATAAGTAATTTCAAAGATATGTCATGTTTATTTGATTTCACTCGTAAAGTGACGTGAATATTCATTTGCAGATATATTTGATTTCAAATAAGTAACTATTGTTCAACATTAATGTCCAAGAAAATGTCATACCCCATTTCGGTAATCTGGTGTTAGTACTCCAGTTGTCTGTTTTATTCTGTGCAAGTGAACACTGGTAAGTGCCATCGTTGATCATTTTATATTCCTTAAACAATAGAGTTTTATTTAGAACGTATGCGTCTATGCTTTCATTGCAGCTAGTGTTTTCCTCAACCCCTGATAAATTACAGGTGCATGTGTAGGTATACAATTCACTGTTGTTAAGTTTTCGGTGCTCCTTTTCTTCACTTGAAATCCCTAAAAAAAGTCAAAATTGACGGCATAGGAATAGAACACGTTTTCATAAATTTGAATAATCAAATTGAAACTGGAGTTTGTGACTATTTTTATTTTTTTTAAACAATCAAATTAAATTTTTTTAACTTGCAGACACAATTTATCCCGTGATATATATCTCGATTTTGAACTATAATACAATATTTCAAGACTAGTTCACATTAATTCTTATTTGCCATATACACGTTAACACGGTAATAGTTTACAGTAGTGGTGCAAAGAACATATCTGAATGTGTATATCTAAAATCATTGCAGCGGACCTGCAATTAATCTTTAACTTTCACAATGTTATACTCTAGAATATTTTTATAGACCGTGGTAAACGAAACACTGTGGAAACAATATTTGCAATAAAATGTTTTTGCTCAGTGGCTTTTATACATATTTCAGGATTTCTTGAAATAGGAAAATTATATAAAAATTTGTTGTAAATATTTGAATAGATTTGGGTTTTCGGTGCTTTACATTAAAACTCAAATCACTTAATTTGCTAGGCAACTAAACGTTTTCTGAAGGTTTAACAGTGTTTAAATTTAGCTAAATATACATTTTCATAGTATTTTCAACCTGCAAGAATCCGAAAAGCTTGTTACGTGGGAGTTTATAAATTTGCACAGGTTTGTTTTACTGCATATAATAAAAATGTAGATCTTATACCATCATAGTACCATATTTTGTACTGAGTTTAAGAGAAATCTTGACAAATCGTAAGTAAACCATTCACTTACATTCAATCTTTAAATGAAATTCAGAATCAACATCGGTAATACTGCATTGGTGCCCAGTCACCGTGAAACATATATATCTATCTGTTTGTCCTTTCATTTTGTCTTTGTTCGTCTCCACTATTCCTGTTAGCTGAGGGGAATCTTTCAGTTTGAAAAAATCATTGAATAAATCATAACTATCAGATCTATTGGAGAATATGGTAGTACCGTCTGAGCATAAAACGTATCTTTGTCGAACTGCATGTCTCCATACATTAACGTTAAGATACTTTGAGAATGTGCTGAGCAGTTCCGACATCTCTACAACAAAACAAAATCGAATATGCGCTTTTAATCGTATTGATTTGTTGAAGATAAATGAACGCCGCTTCAAAGCAACATGCTCTATTGTAGAGATAGCTTTTTAATCTTTTTTTTTAAGTCGTTTTCAAATCCATGCCAAGTGCCCTTCATCATACTAAGACTATCCTTTTAACTAAATTATAAACACATAAACATGATTAATACAACTGTGTTATAAATAAAAATAGTAGGTACCATGTCCCATTGAAAAACAATTTAAAGACGCACGGGTTATAGTTTTGTAAACTGGTAATTGCAATATGGTGTGGATTCATTTTTCTAGCTTGAATTTTGAAGCCTTAAAATGTTTTCTACAAGCAGCCAGTAGTGAATGATTAAATGTCAAACGAAATAATACAAAGAAAGGAATTGGGAATGGAAACGGGGAATGTGTCAAAGAAATAACAACAGAGAGGCAAAATATATCAAAGGGACATTTAGATTCATAAGTAAAAAATAAACTGACAATGCTATTACTAAAAAAAAAGACAAACAGACAACAGCAGTATACAAAGCACAACATAGAAACTAAAGACTGAGCAACACAAACCCCACCAAAAACTGGGGTGATTGCAGGTGCTCCGGAAGGGTAAGCAGATCCTGCTCCACCTGTGGCACCCGTCGTGTTGCTCATTGTAGTACAAACCCGGTAATAAGTCTAATTCGGTAGGCCATATTCGGGGAAAGGGGGACGGAATTGTAGTTACGACAATCGGAACATATCTGCTATCATCTGTGAATATGTGGATATTCCATAACGGTCAACCAACTCGTGATGGCGTCCGTATAATTAACGAAGAGTTGGTCCGACCAAAGAGCAGAAAACAGCCCAAAGTCACCAATTGGTCTCCAACACGGCGTGATTATTAACATTTAACAATATTTGGTAATGTAACCACTGTAAATAATATTGGTGTCGTCTTCTTTGAACAATATATAAGACTGATTTTCCTTTATTGATCAAATGTGTAGTAGATGTTCGACATAAAAGTACTCAGTCCTTAAGATAACACATCTTTCATTCATATATTTTATTACTCATTTTTTACCTTAGCATAAAATTTCCTTCAGGAGATTTTACTTAATTGAACATGAACATGTGCGTTTTTATTTTATTTTGGTGGGTTGCTGTTTCCCCAGATTTCTTTTTATTCATATGCTTGACGAAAATCAATTTGAATGAAATGACTAGTGTAAGTCAACGTTAAAAATAAAGTGCCTTGTACCGATCGTTTGAGCTAAACCTACTGCTACTCATATTACAATTTGTTCTTATGTTGTGCTGTTAAATCATTGTCCAAGGTAGGGGATAGGTTGAGCGCTCATTAACATGTTTAACACTGCGACATTCTTTATGTACAAGTTCTAAGCAAGGCGCCTGTAGGGCAGTGGTTGACGTTTGTTCATTTTTGTCATTTTGTTTCTCTTGTTTTGTTATAACTTAGGCTATTTGAATTGTTTCACATTTTTCAGGTCAGGTCCTTTTAAAACCAAATATACGGTATGAGTTTTGCTCATTTGTGCCTATTCTGACATCCACTTCATTTGAAGTCTGAAGGATAGTTGTCTCATTAGTTATCTTACCACATTTTCTTTATTTTATATATACTCGGGATGTAGTTTTTTAATGCATTGAATTATACACGTGTACTGATCTTATTATTTATTGTTATCTACTTTACAGTTTTTCGAAGACTTTAACGTGAAGATATAAATTAAAAATTCTGACTTATTTTTGAATTTCCAATAATAAAATTGAGAATGGAAATGGGGAATATGTCAAAGAGACAACAACCCGACCAAAGAGCAGATAACAGCCGAAGACCACCAATGGGTCTTCAACGCAAATGTTCATTTAAGAAAGAATATTTCCACAATATTTTGTTCTATTCATACATTCTTAAGCATTAAGTGGCGTTATATATGGTAAAATGTGTCCTTCTATCCGATAAACCCTCTTTTCGAAGAGGCAGTTTAAATATTCCTTTCTTTTTTCGAACTTAACACTGCATATATGCTGTAATAGAAAAGAAAGGATATGAGGTATCATCCATGACACAAAATCAGTATATGCACAGCATTAAAAAAAGTAAGGAAACAGAGATTTTATTCCTGTTCTTCATATCAAAGAAACAGTGAGGCCTTCAACACGGAGTAAACAACTCTCACCTCACTGCCAACTTCAGACGCCCCCTAGCACCGGTTTGAGCGGACTTTTTTTTGCAAAATTGACGATCATGCCACCGCTGTGAATTGAAAAAAAAGTCATGGAGTACTATCAATAAAAACAATCTGGCATATAAAGCCTCAGTTTTCCGTTAATAGTTACGGACGGAATATGCCAAGGTCAAATTCAAAACTCATAAGACGCATATAAACTGACAACACAACGACAAATAAACGACTAAAAATATCTATGCATACTTGATGAACAACTTTGGTAATATAAAGATTAGTACAAAATTTGATATTACCGTACCTGATTTTATTGTTGTTTTTTATTGTGTTGTTTTTTGGCATTGAAAAGGAATACAAGTTTGTTTTGGACACTTCCAAAAGTTGTGGTTCGGAGAATTTAGAACATGTCTATATGCATAGAAACTTTTATGTTCATCTCTAGATGTAGTTTGTGTATTTTATACTGGGTTTCTGTCGCTTTGGATTATTCCCACTTCGCTATTCAGTCAAATTGGTAAACTAGGAATGTTTGTATTAATGAAAGGTTTATTTTCTTTAATTTTTTTATAACTCAATGAAGACGTTTTACTTACTGCATAGGGATACGGTAACTATTCCTTCCTGATGCTCACCGCCAACAATTCCTTGACAACTATACTTTCCCTCATTACTCTTAGTGAAATTGTAAATGTTTAAGCTGGACTTTCCTTCATTTAATGCACTATTGATACTATACTTGAATTTGAATTCAGGATTAATGACATTCATTATAACAATTGGTTTTGATTCTTCATAATACCATGAAACATTATCCTTCTCAGTCAGTTTTAAAGGACATGTGATTTTAGCTGTGGTGTATTCTTTTACAAATGTCTTATTACCGTTTGAAATATCTAAAAAAAATATTATCGTTGAAAAAAGCTCTCCTACTCCTCGGATGTGTGGTATATGAAATGAGTTTTTGGTATCAAGTGAAAACCTGTATTCTAGACAAAAAAGACAAATATTTACTACAGTGCTTTTTGATAAATAAAAGGTCAAAGTGACTATATAATTCAAAGCAATCTGAAAGGTCAATGACCAATATTTTCTCCGTGTTTCCATTTCACATGATGGATTGATTGTTGTTTTTTTAACAATCTATTGTGATTATGTTATGCGTACAGGAAGAGAACAATTTAGTTATCTATCCAATATGTACGTTAAGTAATCGGTTTATCGAGATAAGGGCGATAACTCTAGACTGCAACTAGACTTAAGGGGAAGTATACTTTGTCTTTAAAAAATCAACCTACGGACCCCTCAATGAAGTGCTGCAAGAATTCTTTAACGAGGAATAACGAGGTGGGGCCCAGATTTAATTCCACAATCCCGATCAGACGTGAGTGTGCATTTATATCTTCAACACATCCAAACGAACGCACTTCTTTGGCACGTGTTGAAATCTAGGTAGGAAATGCCGAGGTGACCATTTCTATGAACTCATATTTGACCTTTATTTTGACATGATTTAAAATAGAATTATTTGAAACATAAATTAAAACAATCACTCTTGTGCAAACGTAGGTCGAGATAAGCGAAAAATCATTAACGTCAGCCTTACTATAGTAATTTTTCTTTTCCAATTCATTTGACACTTGACATTATGTTTTTAAATGCATTGGATATCTCAAGAACCAATAGAAGGTTAATGATACTCTTGTACGCTCTATAGTTTTGCATTCCTTACACTGAATTAGATTTCTTCATAAATAAGCAATTGTTCCAGTGTGAACCATACGAGAAATATATTGGTTTTCCATGTTATGTTCTCTAGACTGCTGTTCGTCATTCTGTCATTGTACGTTTTACCACCACAAACTTTTGAAGAATAAAATAAATAAATTTTTCATTATTTTTTTTTTTTTCAACGAGAAGTATGTCAAATATATAAACAATGCAATGATAAATTTAAATTTACTTACGAAGTAATAAACACATCAACAGTTCAAACTGCATTTCTATTAGAATTATGACATTCGGTGCTAAAAAAATAATGTTCGTATTACTGAAGGAAAAGAAAGAAAATGCATAACTAGTATATACAATTAATGTGTCCAGCTACCTCAGACAAGGTTGACCTCAATTTGTCTACAATTTTAGGTTCCTTTGGTCATATAGTTCTTCCCTCGTCTCGTGAGTAATACAGCAGTTGTGTTCAATTCGTTCCCTTGGTTAATATAGACGAGTGTATGATTTTGTCAGGTTGTATGGACGTCCCTTTTTTAAACTATCTTGGTTTTTAATAATTTTATTAGTACTTTTAGCGTAATGTACATTCTTGCTTTCAAATATTATGCTTTTAGCGTACGTTATGAAGGTAAAACCAGACAACTGCTTCGGCATTTTAAAATGTATGAACATGAATGTTCTTTGTCAGTTTCCAAGTTTGTATTTTTTTTTTTTTTTTTTTTTTTTTTTTTTTTTGTAATGGACATATAATTTCCTGCCTTTATTGGATTAAGAGTTATGACTTCCCGCTAAGAATTTGTCCTCTTTTTGTGACTGTCCGCTTGGGATCACTATTTGTTTAGATATATAAAACTTACATTTAATCAGTGGATTTTGTGATACTGTGATAAATTTATATTAATAATGAGGAAATATTTCGAAGTAGAATTTTGAATTATGACAAAAGGAAATGACAGTGAATATTATTGAGTTAATTAAGTACGAAACATTTCCGATTATCTTGAAATATTTTTCCTCAATATAACAATGAGACATATTCAAAATTCGGCCAATTGATGATATTTGTACTCAGTGGGTTTGAGAATTATTGACCTAACAATATATTCTATATCAGGAAATAAGAGTTGGATCGTTGTCTTTTTTCCTTTTCAATTTAGGTGACAGTAGTTTACAGTGGTTTAAATCTCGTTTATCGATTAACATGAGACGACTAAATATAGCAAACAAAACGTCGGGAATCACATGAACTCCAAAAGAAGCGAGAACAGATGAATTGATAGGGTGAAATAGAGGCGAAAGATACCAAAGGAATATTCAAGTCGAAAAAAAAAATGTCAATGCCATAGCAAAAAACGAAAATTTTCCATAAGGCAAACAAAAGTAAACAGAACACAACATAGAACTGGGCGATACGAACCCAACACAAAACCGTTACAGTGTTGATTTAAATAATAAAGGTTTGCAAGCTTATTTTCTAGCTACTTGGGTAAAATTGAACCCCACTAAAAACCGATGGTGATTTCAGTAAATAATTAACATTTTTTCATCAACATTTTACTACTATATACGAATCGTTTTAATCTTTCGTTCATATAATTGACTAACATTAGATTTAAAGATGGCAAAGTCTTACAAATCTAGTTAAAAATGGCTTTAAGAATTTGAAATTTCGATTAAGTGTTGTTTATATTCACATCCAGTGGTCAAAATGAAATGCGTATTTTGACGATCAATAAATCAATTAAAAATGTTCTGCAACCAAGATTAATCTTGTAAAAGGGAATACAATAGCAGATCAGAAAAAAAAAACCAGCCGTACTACATACAACCAAATCACCACTTTATGCGTTGATTACGGGTGCATTCTTGTGACGGCAACACAATATTCTCCTAATACGGTTTGGATTGAATGTAAACTTACCGATATAATTTGATTGTGTATTTATTAGTAGTAAAAACAAGTAAGTTTTCTCTATAAGACAATTAGTGGCTATCGTTCTGTATCAGCGATCCGTGTTAATATCAATATGCAGGCTTCTATCAGACCCCAACATAAACATTCTTTTTCAGGTGGTACAATGTATCAAACTTGCTGAAAGGTCACATCATCAAGCAAAACCTTATTTTTTTTCTTTTGATCTTTTTTTGGTGTTCAAACTACAGTGAATACATACATTGTAAAAGATTAAAGCGAATTAAAATATATGACATTGTTATTATGCGAATAAGAATCATGAAACATTTAACATGTTCAAATCTTCAATGTGAAAATACAGTATATGATACTATATAAAGAAAACTTTGGAGTCCAATAACTATGCAATCAAAATAAATTAAACAAATTCCATAAGTTCCTCCCATCTGTCGACAAATGACTCGTATTTATCTTTAGAAAGGTTTAAATATTCTAAAATTTCAAAACGTCTTTTCAAAAATTTGCGGAAAGCTTGAGCAGCTATCAACAGACCCTTAAAATCTTAACTGCAAGGACTACATTTGTTTCATTTTGTTTTTGGGCATAGCGTTGTCTGTCATTCCGAATTCTGATAATCCCCGGGGTATTGTTTTCATTTTGTTTCACACAATTTTAATTATCATAAAAAGCATCCTTTTTTTATTTTTGCTTTATGTTTTCATATTGGATACCTGGAATAAAGAGAACAACCATAGTACAATATGTAGTAAAACAAATACAGCGTTTCTAATACAGATGAGTTATGCATCTTTCTTCGACGAATGTCACTTTAAACAACTAAAACAAAGAAAATAATACTAAGCACACAATTTTCAAATTTTTGTCGACCCAAACCGCCTCGACATATCATAACAAAGACTGTTAAAATATGATTGTTAGGACTGAAAATTTGCTTTAGCTATTTAATTTATTTCTATATATAGATAAGGGAAAATTATTGACTACAGTTATGTAGATGAAGTAAATGAAATTTACTATATAGATGATGTTCTCTCACTAAATAATTCAAAATTTGGTGACTATGTTGAACGCATCTATCCCATCGAACTTTAGATAAAGGATACAGATACAGTTAAGTCTGCTTCATATTTTGACTCAAATCTAAAAATGGACAATGAGGATCGGTTGAGAACAAAACTTTACGACAAAAGAGATGTTTTCAGCTTCCCAATTGTGAACTTTCCATTTCTATGTAGCAACATTCTAGGGGCGCCTGCATCTGGAGTAGATATCTCCCAATTGATACGATATTCCCGGGCTTGTATTTCCTATCATGATTTTCTTGATAGAGGGTGGCTACTCAAAAGGAAGTTATTAAACTAAGAGTTCCAAATGTTGAAGTTGAAATCATCTCTTCTTAAATTTTACGGACGATAGATAGATGATAGCGGATATGTTCCTTATGTCGTTACTACAATTCCGTCCTCTTTTCACGAATGTGACCTACCTAATTGGACCTATTACCGGGTTTGTACTAACATAAGCAACACGAAGGGTGCCACATGTGAAGCAGGATCTGCTTACCCTTCCGGAGCACCTGAGATCGTGTTGCTTAGTCTTTAGTTTCTATGTTGTGTTTTGTGTACTATTATTTGTTTGTCTTTTTCTGTTTTTAGCCATGGCGTTGTCAATTTGTTTTCGATTTATGAGTTTGATTGTCCCTCTTGTATCTTTCGCTCCTCTTTTACTGACTAGTGTGTCTGGCTTATTTATTTATACTTAGACTTTGTTAAAGCCATTGACAAAACTTTCTCGTAAAATTATGATAAAAACTCTTGACCGTTATAGCAGCTTAAGTAATGAAACGTTCAGTGGTGCTTATTAATATATGTAGTGAAAGATCACATTTAAAAGTAAAAAAAAAAAAAAAAAGTTCAAAACGGTAAGTCCCTTGTGACATGGCAAAATCAAAAGCTAAAATACATCAAGCGAATGGAAAACAACTGTCATATATATATATATATATATATATATATATATATATATATATATATATATATAAGTCTAGAGATTTGCACAACGATACTAATATAAGATGGTATTATACGAAGATGTTGTTAATAAATCGTGTTGACAATATTTGTCAACACGATTTATTAACAACATCTTCGTATAATACCATCTTATATTAGTATCGTTGTGCAAATCTCTAGACTTATATATTTTTTTCCTTATCTGCACAGTATCGTCTATTCTAGACGATCCGGTACATAGTAAATTTGCTGGTTGGTCCTTTTTATAGACTTCTATATATATATATATATATATATATTCCTGGCTTGGTACAGGTATTTCTTTGCGTAGAATAAAGACAACAGTCGTATCCCGCTTTTTAAATTGATGGCACTTTGTTTATAGAAGACCCAAACCTGTTCCGGCGAATCCCTTTCTTCTTCAGAATTAAAATTTACAAATACTTAACATTTCATTATTGTGATTTCTGAATAGTTATATTAATATTAATGTATTAATTGTATTATGTATATTAATCAGTCTTTGGTAGTTGATGTAGTGTTAGGTGAACTACTGATTGTCTTTTTTTTAAGTCATCGTTTGTCTTTCTTTGGCGGGTGAAATATGCATAGCAGAAGATATCGACACACGCGGTCTCGATCCGCTTTGGAGATCATGCTATTCATTTATTTGTTGTTTTAAATTTGCGTAGATTATCTTAATGGGTAATTATCGTTTTTAATGATTAGTTGTAATATATTATCAACCTTACCTTCAATGAATAATTCAAACTTCGATTAAATATAATTTATCAAAAAGGAAATAATTCAAAGGTGGTTTTTGAAAAAGGACGAAGGGAAATAAACGTCATCGATATTGAATTTATGAGTAATCAAAATATCCGATTGTCTTGCATTAATTGCTTCCTCATTATGACGATTAAACATACTCAAATGTTGGTTAATATCTGTAAAATTAGCAGTCTGTGTTTACGAGCATTCTCTACTCTACAATGCTTTTCCTTACACACAGTAATAGGCGTTGATTTTTATGTTTGCATCTTTAAAACAAAGATAAAATATGTTTATCTGAACAGTTTACCTTTACACATGGAAAGGCCATAACTGTTCGAAATTTATTATGAGATTGTAATTATTATGATTATTTATCTTGGCCTTTTGTGTTTTGTGTGTCCTTCATAATCGGTTGTGACCTGTTAATAATTGTTTACAAAATAATGGTATTGTGTAATTGAGATCACTGGAACATTCGTAGATAGTGATGGAATGATTAGAACTTTCTATTAGAATTGCATAGAATTATTATAATCTACGATGCGTCTTTTTAAAATAAAGGCAACAGTAGTTTACCGGTGTTCAAAAGTTATAAATCGATTGAGAGAAAACAAATTCGGGCTACAAACTAAAGTTCTTAAAGTTTCCTTTCTACAATGTTCTAGAAGTTTACCTTCTACAGTGTTCTAGAAGAGAGGCGAAAGATACGAGTTGGTTGACCATTATGGAATATCCGTTTCACAGTTGATAGCGGATGTCCGTTATATCGTAACTACAATCCCGTCCCTTTTTCACAAATGTGACCTACAGAATTAGACTTATTACCGGGTTGGTACCAACATGAGCAACACTACGGGTGCCTCATATATAGCAGGATCTGCATCAGAGGGCATCAGAGTTACTGTGAACAACCTCCATAGATTTGTTAATCATTTATGAATACTAAAATATCTGAACAATATGTAACAGTACATATAATGCAACTCCCACTCCAGGTGGAACAGTATAACACGTTTTGCTTGTCTATGCCTCACACAAGTATTCATCTTTTAATAATAATACATGTTTAAAGAATTAGTCAAACTTTCTGTCATAAAAAAGAAAGACCAACTAAAGATTTTGATATTTTGTTTTAAAAAGGGAGAATACTTTTTTGTACATTTTTATGTATCTTTTACGCCCGTATAATCCTGACTCTCATCAAACTTTTATGTAGTTTTCTCCCAAATGGTCTCGAGCGTCCGTGATTACGTTTATTGACACTTTCATGAATGACAAATCATTCAACAGATCATATATAATACATAACAATATGACATAATTTTAATATCAAGTGTTTATGTTTTAGAAAAGAAACTGCTGCAAACTTTTAATTTGGTGGGGTAAAATGTCTCTCTAATATTCAATGTATAGGAGTTAATTAATGTTAAACTGTGTGAAAATAAAATGTGAAACTAGTAACAACAATTTCGAAATATTTAGTTACAAAATGTCTAGATATTAGCAAATTTAGGAGTTTGCTGTGGATAAGAATAGCCTATGATCATGATATGCTACATACTTCATACTCAAAGAAATTTATGTAAATACGATGAATCGATTATAAAATACTGTATTTCAAACTACTACGACAAAATAATCACTTAATTTGTACCTCAAAATCAGCATAACTAAATATAGACATATTCTAGGATTCAATAACGTTGTGCACGTATTAAACAAGTGTAAGATTACACAAAGAAATTAAAAAACAAAACAGTATGTAACAGAACTGGAACTGATTTTTTTTTTACAAGAAAGTATCAGAGGTCATACTCTAGAACTTTCATTTTATTTCATTCAATTGCTGTTTGATAAGAAAAAAGTGTACCGGTGGTTTATATAATAACAGTATAATTATCACCATTAGCATTACTGATTTCAATATATCTGGTACAAAAAATGAAGGATTTACAATACTTGACGTACAATGTCTTTATCA